ATATCCCGAATAACAGTCCAATTCACACCCAAGCGCACACAACCACCCAAAGTGGCGACTGGTGGCGGCAAAATGGCGGCGTGAGGTGGCAGCCACCACCTCACGGTGGTGGTGGTGGGGTTTTTTTTTCGGATTCCGGTCAAGCAACACCCAACAAACAACTTTAACTTAAATGAACACACTGAAACACCATTTGAAACATACATCCACCTCTCACGGTGGCTGGTGGCGGCAAAAGAGCATTCCCAACGACAGCCACCATGGTTGGCTGCCATGGTGGTCTTCTTGCGTTTTCCAGCCAACAACTCATCTATACACACCCGTGGTGACGACTGAAACACGCACAAACACCACAATGTTGGTTGAAGTACGAGCACACACGCACGAAACACACACAACACCGCCACCCACACAGTGGTAGGCGGTGTTCGGAAGCTCGCTGTCAATTGTGACAGTCGACGGAACAGTGGCGAAGTAAAGAAACGGAAGAGCGAGATGAGTAGGTAAGGATGTGTTAGGAATTGAGACAGGGTACACGCAGCGGAAATACTATCACACACTCACAAACGAAACGAGAAAATAAAGCAATAAAGAACACAAGGATTTTACGTGGTTCGGATTCGGTGTAAATCCTACGTCCACGGCCTGCAACTAGAGAATTTTATTAAAACTCACAAGATTACAATTGGCTTGACACTCTACACTTGATGTTCTCTCAAGTTTTTGCACACAAAATATGCAAAACATACATGCATATATATAGGTATATTTGTGAGCCGCAATATGCACAAGATTGCCGCATAGTTTGAAAAAATAATTCTCATGCATGTGTTTGACAATTTTTTCCACCGTCCAATTATTTGCCGTCCAAAACTTTGACAGTCCAACAAATGAATTCAAAAGGTGTGCTCCATAATTGCATCGTCCATTTCATATTCAATTGTTTAATATTTCCAAGTTTCATTTATGGCCCTTGAACTTTTAGGAACTTGTCAATTTGTTCAAGACTCCATAAATCTTAACAATCTCCCACTTGGAGACTTGAACAAATTAGTCTTTCTCCGCCATTCAACTCTCAATTACTCCAGTAATCTTAAAAAACAACCAAGTCCTTCAAGCTTCCAGTTTCAAAGAACAAGCTAAAACTTAGTCTGATTTCTCTAATTGCAGTCGCCCCTCATCTTCAAGTACTAGAAGGGCCAGTTGAAGCTCCCACTAGCTCCAACTCAGTCGTGGCTAATCCCACCACCGACTCATCCTCTGTCTCAACCGGTTTGGACACTCCACCAGATCCAGAGATACACCGAGGACCACTAACACTCTCCAAACTTTGCAAACTTCCAACAAGAGAGAATTTTCCAGTCTTAGTCTTCAAAACCCAACGGCTCTTTGTAACTGTACCCGGGACACACCCCGTGCTCCCACTGTCACAGAATCCCCTGAATGGTTTAGAATTTCCGACTCGTTCAGCTAACATCCCCTTGGCTCCAGAATTCATGTTTGCAAAATGAACTCTCTTAGCAGTAGATTTAGCGAACCAGATTTTGTTTTGCTTAATCGGGATGGTCATACTTCCCTCAGCAGGTACCTCAACCATATACAATGACCCACGCTTCAAACCTTGAGCAATCACCGAATTACCATTGACCACCATCCATTTACCACCACCAAACCTTACTTCCAGTCCTTGTTTATCCAGCTGACCAACAGAAATCAATTTTTTCTTCAGCTCCGGAATAACCCTGACATTCTTCAGGCTCCATGTAGTTCCTAATGAAGTAACTAGATCAATATCTCCCATGCCCGTTACTTGAAGCATCTCGTCATTTGCCAATCGTACCTTCCCAAAATCTCCTTCTTTTAGATTCACCATCGTTTCCCCGTTGTCCATGGCGTGAAACGAAGCCCCTGAATCCATGACCCAAGAGTCCACAGAACTTTCCATACTGAGTAACAATGCATCATCCCCAGAAAAATTCTCAGCATCAGCAATGTTCAATTCTTTCTTTGGACATTGACTCTTAACATGTCCCACTTCTTGACAGTTCCAACATTTCACATTCTTCAAAGTTCTAGAAGAACTTTTTCCCCGACTCCCACTGCTCCCACTATTCCTGCTATTCCCTCTACCTCTTCCGACATTTAATAAATCAGAAGAGGAAGATCCACCTTGATTCTTGCGTCTGATATCCTCGCCTAGAACCAAATCTCTAACCCCTTCAAAAGTCATACCACTGGTCCCCACGGAACTTGTAACAGCAGTAACTGTTCCGGACCAGCTATCAGGTAGAGAAGCTAGTAGCAGCGAAGCTTGAGTCTCATTATCAAATTTAATTCCCACAGATGATAATCTGGACAAAATTGAATTTAGATTGTTAATGTGAACCGTAACTGAGCCTTCCTCATTCATCCTTGTAGTGAACAACTCCTTCATCAAGAACACCTTGTTAGCCGCCGATGGTTTCTCATACATATTTGACAGAGCCTCCATCATACCACGCGCCGTGGTTTCATTCATGATGTTGAAAGCAACGCTCTTCGTCAACGACAATGTAATAACCGCCTTGGCTTTCTTGTCCTTTGAGTTCCACGCATCTTCAGCAGCTTTTTCCATTTTCTCCGGTTTGTCTCCGAGTACCACGTCCAAGTCTTTCTGACATAGCAATGCTTCTAATTGCATTTTTCACCAGCTAAAATCAGAACCATTGAACCTTTCGATTATAACCTTGTCTTCAGCCATTACGGCAAACAAAAAAAAATTAGGTACACTCGTGTGTGACAGAAAAAACGATCGTACCCTCCAAAACCTCGCTAACCAGGCTCTGATACCAATTGTTAGGAATTGAGACAGGGTACACGCAGCGGAAACACTATCACACACTCATAAACGAAACGAGAAAATAAAGCAATAAAGAACACAAGGATTTTACGTGGTTCGGATTCGGTGTAAATCCTACGTCCACAGGCTGCAACTAGAGAATTTTATTAAAACTCACAAGATTACAATTGGCTTGACACTCTACACTTGATGTTCTCTCAAGTTTTTGCACACAAAATATGCAAAACATACATGCATATATATAGGTATATTTGTGAGCCGCAATATGCACAAGATTGCCGCATAGTTTGAAAAAATAATTCTCATGCATGTGTTTGACAATTTTTTCCACCGTCCAATTATTTGCCGTCCAAAACTTTGACAGTCCAACAAATGAATTCAAAAGGTGTGCTCCATTATTGCATCCTCCATTTCATATTCAATTGTTTAATATTTCCAAGTTTCATTTATGGCCCTTAAACTTTTAGGAACTTGTCAATTTGTTCAAGACTCCATAAATCTTAACAGGATGACGCCATTACCGGAGAGGATGCGGTAACAATGATCACTCTCTCCGTCGATCTTCTTCTATCGTCGGCAACAACAAGTGGTGGTTCTCAGCTTCGACGTCGGCGGTGCAGCAGCGGTGGTGCTCAGCTCGCTTGGTGGCTCACGGTGGCGGTAAGGACTCGACACTGCAGCGACGGACGAGGGTGTTCCAAGGTAGTGGCGGCTGAAGATGGATACGTAGGCGGTGGCAGCTGAAAAAATGGCTAGGGTTAGGGTTAGCATGGCGATGACGGGTTTTAACCCGTCCCATTTAAACTTCTCAACGTTTTGACACTTCCGGCCCCTCCCCCTAAAATCTTTTCAATCTAGGTCCATATTATACTCTTTAGCCCCTGCTTCTAAGAATCTATTCAATTTAAGTCCAATAATTACCAACCAGCTCTCAGCCTTCAAAATTCTTTACAAAATAAGTCCCGGAATTACGCTTTAACCCCCGTATAATCCAAATTATAACATTTGGCTCCCCGAATCCAACACCTCGCTAAATATGATTGATTTGGCTATAAAATAATAATAATATTATATCTCGGGGCTTTAGAGTTTTGTTAAGATGATAATCCTTGAAAGATCGTTTAGATTCAACAGATTAATAACAAGAACATAACGATGATCCAAAATATTCTAAATGATTAAAAGGTCACGACTCAGAAGAACCCGACAAAGAATTGGTACTGTAGAGGCGTGATTAGAGTTACAAAGTAATTATCAGAGTTACCAAAATACGATGCATGCATGCATCTTTAATACTCTAACCCTAGAAAATAAATACGGGAGGACAGACCCAACCCGTTTACAAAACATACTATACATACGGCCCAATGACGCAACATAATAATCCTAACAAGTTTATTATTTATTTAATTGATTTTATTTAATTCCAAACGGAGTGTTACAAATCGGATATTCACTGCTAATTTTTTCCTTATGAAATCAAATTATTACTAAGAAACGCAGGAGAAAACATGTCGCACTTGAGTTGGAGGAAGGCTGGTCGGAGGCTGCGTGGTCGGAGGAAACCGACAGAGGAAGAGGACGAAGGCTGTGGAGGAATACGACGGGGGCTATGGAATCACTTTCTTCTTCCGATCTGTGCTTCTATGTAGACGATTGTTTAGGGCATAACGAGAATTGATTATTTTGGAGCTGATATGTCTCGGTCCTTCACTTCTAGAATAAAGGACCAAATCAACACATTTCTTTGAACCGAGTCTAAGGTTTGGACCGAGTCCAACTTTTTAGAGGATGTGTCAAACATACCAATTGAGTTTTTTGGTGCCAGTCTACCCTTTGGACCCAATTAGAAGGGAAATCAAACGAACCCTTAGGAGACAAAAAGGATGTGCGAGTGGTGAACAAGTGAGATTAAGAAAATACCCCTTTAATTTCTCCAACGGTAGCCAATGGATGGAACAAGAGACGGAGTAAAATGAGAAGGACTAATGATGTTATCAATACGCTCAATAGGGACCGTTCATGTTATTTTGTTCATAGTAGGACCAAAAGTGTTATTTCGTGCAAACCGCATGGACCAAGACTATAGTTTACTCATAGTTTAGGGACAAAACTTATAACTAGCTCAAGAATCACTTTCTAGCAAATATAAAAACTCAGATCGAGCAATATCCCCTGGCGATTTATCAGATTCACCCTTTCCGTTACTCGCATTCTCCTCTTCTCCGAGTTCCTCCTCACTGACGGATTCCTTCTCCATATCGGAGCACCCAATCTCCAGTCATTCGATATGAGCAATCAGCCGGAGTCTTCTTCATCGGAGCCGTAAGTTGTCGTAGACTAAATCAATCAATTATCAATCTTATATGCAAGTTTATGGCTTTATTTTTGTGATTTGCTTCAATCGGACTCTGATAATCGTGTTACCGCCTTGTCGACCGATTTTTATTACAGGAAAGGCCCGCCTGCGGCGAAAAAAGACTTTTCAACCGCTATCTTGGAGCGCAAGAAGTCTCCGAACCGGCTTGTCGTTGACGAAGCTGTCAATGACGACAACTCAGTCGTCGCTATGCACCCTAATACGATGGAGAAGTTGCAGCTTTTCCGCGGTGATACCATACTGATCAAGGTTTTTCCCGTTTCTCAGACTTTACTGTTTACTATAAGTCTTAGGGTTTCGTTGGCTTTTGATACAATTGAATTGTGCTTCACGGTGAAATCCTATAATATCTAGTTCGCAGATCAAAGATTCCTCTTTATGTTTTCTTGAATCTAGGGTTATGATAGACTTGTCTTCACTCGAAGAAGAAAGCTACTCTATTCTAGAAAAAAGAGCTAGACTATGATCTGTTACTATCAAACCCGACTACTTTTTTCATGTGCAACATTGACACAGGTTGTGTTGTAACTTTTTCTCCAATATTATTCAATTGAAATCTAGAGTAATCCTATATGCTAGTTTAACCTCTTTTGTGGCTCTCTTTTCTGGGTGGGGAGGGGTTGGTTTTTCTTTTGGTTGGCATAGATGATACTTGTAGTTTTGTTGCAAATAGTAACTTCAGCTGAATTGTATGTAGTGATGTTTAATTTATCTTTTTCTTATGTTTACAGGGGAAGAAAAGGAGAGATACAGTCTGCATTGCCCTTGCTGATGAAACCTGTGATGAACCAAAGATCAGAATGAACAAAGTCATCCGAACAAACCTAAGGGTTCGATTAGGAGATGTTGTATCTGTTCACCAATGTCCAGATGTGAAATATGGGAAACGTATCCATGTCCTTCCTCTAGATGACACCATTGAAGGTGTTACAGGAGACTTATTCGATGCTTACCTGAAACGTAAGTGACCTACATACATCAGCTTCTTACTCTTTAGTCTTAACATAACTGGCTATTTGTTATGTAATTTAACCTAATTTTCAATAATGCAGCCTACTTCTTGGAGGCATATAGACCTGTAAGAAAGGGTGATCATTTTCTTGTGAGAGGAGGCATGCGAAGTGTGGAATTCAAAGTTATTGAAACTGATCCAGGGGAGTATTGTGTTGTTGCTCCAGACACTGAAATATTCTGTGAGGGTGAACCTATTAAGAGAGATGATGAAGATAGGCTAGATGAGATTGGTTATGATGATGTAGGTGGTGTAAGAAAACAAATGGCTCAAATTCGTGAACTTGTTGAATTACCATTACGCCACCCACAGCTTTTCAAATCCATTGGAGTAAAACCTCCAAAGGGTATTTTACTATATGGCCCTCCTGGATCTGGAAAGACACTCATAGCAAGAGCAGTAGCCAATGAAACAGGGGCTTTCTTTTTCTGCATTAATGGACCTGAAATCATGTCAAAACTGGCTGGAGAAAGTGAGAGCAACCTCAGAAAGGCGTTTGAAGAGGCTGAAAAGAATGCCCCTTCGATTATTTTCATTGATGAGATTGACTCAATTGCCCCTAAAAGAGAGAAGACTAATGGTGAAGTTGAAAGGAGGATTGTTTCACAGTTGTTGACACTTATGGATGGATTAAAATCACGTGCACATGTTATTGTAATGGGAGCTACAAATCGCCCTAATAGCATTGACCCTGCTTTGAGAAGGTTTGGGAGATTTGATAGGGAAATTGACATTGGTGTCCCTGATGAAATTGGGCGTCTTGAGGTTATTCGTATCCACACCAAGAACATGAAACTCTCTGATGATGTAAGTCATAATTAGTTAATTACTTTGTTCTTTTACAAATAATAGAATGGATATGTAGCTAAAGAAACATGGATTGAAAAAAATTTCAGGTTGATTTGGAAAAGATAGCTAAAGAAACACATGGGTATGTTGGTGCTGACCTGGCAGCTCTCTGTACTGAAGCTGCACTTCAATGCATTAGAGAAAAAATGGATGTGATTGATTTGGAAGATGATTCCATTGATGCTGAGATTCTGAATTCCATGGCTGTTTCAAATGAACATTTCCAGACTGCTCTTGGAACAAGCAATCCCTCTGCTTTACGTGAAACTGTAAGTGAATGTATTTATAAACTTTTCAAACTTTATAAAACCATTTTAAATATATATATTTAAATCTTTTTTTGGAGATAGGTTGTGGAAGTTCCTAATTGCAGCTGGGATGATATTGGAGGTCTTGAGAATGTTAAGCGTGAGCTTCAAGAGGTAATGGAATTGAAATATTGAATCATTGATTTCAGTTTTCATGAAAATAAATGAAAATGATTTTAATATTTTTTTGAAATGAAACAGACTGTTCAATACCCTGTGGAGCACCCTGAGAAATTTGAGAAATTTGGGATGTCACCCTCGAAAGGAGTTCTTTTCTATGGCCCACCTGGATGTGGAAAGACACTTTTAGCCAAAGCTATTGCTAATGAATGTCAAGCTAACTTTATTAGCATTAAAGGACCTGAATTGCTTACTATGTGGTTTGGTGAAAGTGAAGCCAATGTTCGTGAGATTTTTGATAAGGCTAGAGGATCTGCACCCTGTGTCCTCTTCTTTGATGAACTTGATTCCATTGCAACTCAGGTCAGAACTTAGTTACTGTTTTATTCATACTATGGAATTGGAATCAGAAAAGAAATGGAATGGAATGGTTCATTCCATTTAGAAAAGAACATGTTCATTCATTGATTCATTCCATTTTGTTAATTCGCATTCCTTGGTTGGAGGTTGAAAAATTGCAACATAACTCATTTTTATTTATATGTAAATCCAAATACACAAATCTTATTTAAAATTCTTTGTAATTTTGATCAAATCTAGTTATAATTAAGGGTTAATCTCATAAAAGACGTTATATTTTGTGTTTTTTGAGGATTAAACCTCAACTTTGTTTTTTTTTTTTCTTGAAAAAGACCTTTTATTTTTTTTCATTTTTTAACGAAAAAACCTTCAACTTTGTCTTTTTTTCCCAAAAAAACCCCTCAACCTTCAAACTGTTTTCGAAAAAAGCCTCAGTTTTTTCCGGAAACCCCCCACATTTCACAAGTTTTTTTCGGAAAAAAAAGGACTAAAAGGGCCAGATCGAAAAAAATGAAAGGTCTTTTTCAGGAAAAAATAAAGTTGAGGTTTAATCTTGAAAAAACACAAAATATAAAGTCTTTTATGATATTAACCGTATCATAAAAATAAGAGTAAGCCTCAAAAACTTCCCACTTTAGCTAGGGTTCAGTCCAAAAAATGAATCTTTTTTCGAAACACCATTTTGGTCCCTGGGTTTAATACTGTTAAGTCATGTTAAAATTACCATTTTGCCCTTTCTTTATACTTTTAAAAGGTTAAATCCAGAAACCAATTCTACACAAAACCTACCAATAAAGACCGTTTTAAAAAATATACATTTTTTAACCTTATCATAAAAATAAGAGTAAGCCTCAAAAAATGAATCTTTTTTCAAAATACCATTTTGGTCCCTAGGTTTAACACCGTTAAGGCATTTTAAACTTACCATTTTGCCCTTATTTTATACTTTTTTAAGGTTAAATCCAGAAACCAACAAAGGCTCATATAAAGTGTATAGTAATAGAAGAGGGTTACAGTTACAGACTTACAGTTACAGTTACTGATTGTTTGATTCCATTCCGTTGATTTGTGATTCCATTCCATGGATTTTTACAGAGGGGAAGTAGTTCCGGGGACGCAGGAGGAGCTGCAGATCGTGTTCTAAACCAACTGCTGACAGAAATGGATGGAATGTCAGCGAAAAAAACAGTTTTCATAATCGGAGCCACCAACAGACCCGACATAATCGACCCTGCACTGCTTCGTCCAGGGCGGCTCGATCAACTAATTTACATCCCACTCCCAGACGAGGATTCCCGCCACCAGATTTTCAAGGCGGCAATGCGCAAATCCCCTGTTTCCAAAGATGTCGACTTAAGAGCCCTCGCTAAATACACTCAAGGCTTTAGCGGTGCTGACATCACCGAAATATGTCAGCGCGCGTGCAAGTACGCAATCCGAGAGAACATCGAGAAAGTACGTTACCATTTACCATTTACTATTTGGTCAGCAGAGTATGTTCAAAGATTTTGCAGTTTTGGTCCCTAATGGTTTCCCTCTTGCAAATTTGGTCCTTTATTAATCATGATTCAACTACCAAATATTAAAAAATTTGTTTGTTGATTGGGTTTTGCAGGATATAGAGAGGGAAAGGAAGAGGAGTGAGAATCCAGACTCCATGGATGAGGATGAAGATGAGGTGGCGGAGATTAAGGCAGCACATTTTGAGGAGTCTATGAAGTATGCGCGTAGAAGTGTGAGTGATGCGGATATTAGAAAGTATCAAGCGTTTGCTCAGACATTGCAACAGTCGAGAGGGTTTGGGTCGGAGTTCCGGTTCCCTGAAGCGGCTGGAGCGGCGGCAGCTGGTGGTTCTGACCCGTTTGCGGCGGCGGCTGGTGGTGGTGGTGGAGATGATGATGACTTATACAGTTAGATTTTTATATAAAATTATGCTGAAGTCATGTGACTTGCATTTTATTTCAGTTTCAGTTGTTGATTCTCTGTTTTATTTTGGATGTTTTGTTATGGATGTTTGACACTTACTGTTGTCTACAATTTGCATTTCAAACTTGGGATTCAACTTGTTTGTTTCTTTTTATTTTTATTAAGGTGTATGACTTAGTATATTTTGTCAGGGCTCACATGGGCAGATGAGCTTGACCCCAAATTGTGTTAGATAGCATAAGTTTTAAGTTTGGGATCATCGAATCCATTCACCTACAATCACCACCACCACCATTGTAACAAAGCTTCCGCAGTATTTTAATAAAAAGGTGTGTACTTTAAAGTTTTAGTTTTTGAGCTTTAGTACAAGATAAAAAAAAATTCCTGACAACGTAATTTTTATCTTGGTATCAGAGCTTTGAATCAAAACGTTCTTAGCTCTATGGAAGGCTAAACTCCTAAGGTATATTCAGGAAAAACAGTAAAGGTATTATTTTATCAATTTCTTGAATTTCTACGGTAACATTTCTGTTAAAAACTTCATAAAAACCCTTGTTTTTAGATAAAAGACAGCGCAATTGCTTCTATTAAAAAGTACCGAAAGAGTCGGTAAGTGTTTGAAGTTAACCGTTTGGTGAGTCTTAAAACAAGTTTGTAAATATAAACCTTTGAAGTTTTTATGTTATGTCCGACCGCTTTGAGCAAGAGATACAAAATTGGTACGATAATTCACGAACTGTGGATCCTGAGTATATCATTTTTAAAGAAAATAGTTCTAAACCTACAACTACCGATTTAGCCAATAATTTAGCTTGTATTTATAATCGTTTAAATCTCTTTTCTAAAGTAGCACTTAAGAATTTTAAAAGTATTTCTGAAAAACAAAAAGATCTTGAGTCAAAAGTCCAAAGTTGTCAAGAGAAGCTTGAATCCTGTGAGGAGTTATTAAGAAAAACTCAGAGTGAAACCAGAAAAAGCTTTCAACAAATCTCAACTGAGATCCATCAATCTAAACCACTCACAAAAAGAGAAGTCCCGAGCCTTGTTCAAGAAATAGCTGAGCAACCAAAATTAGTTGAGAAAGAAGCCCTCAGACTAACAGAAGAACTCAATCATAAAACCCAGAAGGTTGAAAATCTTCTTCACGAAGTCAAGAGGCTCATCACCGGATTAGTATTGCCAATCAAAAGGCAACTACTGAGTATCAGGAAGCCATACAAGCCACTGAAGACTTTGAATCACCAGCAGTTGGTTTTGCAAAAACAACCGACTACAAAGAAGCTCTAGTTAGCCAAGTAAAGGCTGTTATAAAACAAAACAACACCTTGCTTTACTTAGCAACTAAGCAAAGTCAGAAACTGATTGAGATTGAAGAAAAGTTTGACAAGCTCAAACAAGAAGTTCAAACTGTTATCAAACAAAATACTCAGCCAACAGATCTTGAAGACTCAATATCAAGCTTAACCAGAAGACTTGATAATTTCTCTATTAGTGGGAAACTTCCAGTAAAGAAAAGTAACAGGCAAATCTACGAAGATCGTAACAAAATCTTTAAAGAACAGTTTGGGAAAGAATCAAAGAAATGACTTTCAGAAGGCCTAGCATCCTCAACAGGAGTTCCACACAAACTCAAACAGAACTCCCAACTCAAGAAGATCAAATTCGTGGTTATCGACAAATGACCCGAAACAGATATCAAGCAGCTAGGGCAACAAGAAGAGTATTTGGAAGAAACAGCTATAATCGCACCTTGGAGTCTGTTGTAGATCCAGAAAGACAACTTGAAATATCAAGAGAGAGAAGGGCAAATCTTGTTCCAGCAGAGGTACTTTATTCAAACAATAGAAGTACTACAAGACACAGAGTCTATGAACACTACTATGAGCAAAGAATCCTATGTGTTGGAGAAAATCAAGTTAACCTTCGGCTGTGTAACCAAGAAAGCTACCAGAACTTGAGAACTTCAGGGCTCCAGCATATTCACCTAGGAATATTCATGATCAGGCTACATGCACTCCACCGGAGAAGTGCGGGAACAAATGCTCTAGTTGTCCTTCGGGACACTAGATGGGAAGATAGTCGACAAATCATTGGAACTATGGAAGTCGACCTCTCTGCAGGAACGCAGCTAGTCTACATGTTCCCTGATATGGTTCTAAGTATTGAGGACTTCCATAATCATGTAGAAGTTGTCATACAAACTCATGGGTATGAAACTTGGCAAGGCGGCGAAAGTAATCTTTTGATTACAATAGCCATGACGGGTAGGTTATCAAACACTAGCTATATAGGATTCCAATATAGTGTAGAAAATGTTGTGGACCATCTCACAACAAATGGCATCATGGTAATTTCTGGTGAAAGGAGTATAGAAGAGCTTGAAGGAATGAGCTGGAATCTAAAGCCATCTGAGCAAACATCAGTAAGTGTACCATCAAGAGTAGCGGTACATGAAAGGCTTAACAGATCATTAAGTCTCCAATTTGAAAGATATCGCCGAACCCCCCAACCAGCAAGATACTCTGTTGACCAGAATGATCGAGAAGTATTAGGTAACGATCATTTGGACGAAGATGAAGAGCATTTTATAGGAGTATGTTTTCAAACACCTCAGACAAAACATATCCCCTGTGATATATGTTTCTGTGAAGAATGTCTGGATGAAGCAAGGATCTTGGAGAATGAGCCACTGAACACAGCAAGACGTTCCAATAAGCCAAGACGATCAAAACATAAATGGTCAACTCTTGGTGAACCATCTGGAAAATGGGACTATTATGTCAAGTACGATACCTCAGTAAGCACAACTTCAATAGAAGAAATTGCAGCAACTGGCTGGGGAGATGGATTCCCAGATGATGAAATTACCCCAGGAAAAGTGACAATTATGGACAAAACAAGTGACTGGGATGATGATGAAAGAAGTGGTGGAAAGATCCTTGTCCTACGAGAAGAATTTTCAAAAAACCAACAAGATTTTCTTGATGAATATTTGCCACAATGGGATGACCAACTCGCCACACAAAGATCAGAGTCTGAATGGGAAAACCCATTCGCAGCGAAGCATGGTGAGGACCATACAATTCTTCATCTTTCCAAAGAAGATGATGACAATCTGCCATACCCAAAATTTCGCAACTTTAAACAAATGGCAGCACAAATGGTCAAAAAACACGAAGAACATGCTTTTCCAACAGCAAATGACGCAGAATCTGGTGCAAGCTATCAACCTCCAGATGATGCAATATTAGGACCAACTGTCTACCCACCAGCACGGCAAAATCCACAGCCAATTTATAGACCAGACTACCAGTTTGGTTACCCTCAAGGAAAAGGCAATATTTTTAATGGAGGATATGGTGAATATCATAATTCACAGTGGACTCTGCCACCAGCATGGACGGAATCAGGTGTAATGCTTGTTCTACCAGCAGATCCAGGCTTATGGTCAGATGTAATAGCACGATGGGAGTCTATAACAATCAATAGGCTCAATAGCCAAACATGGACTGACAACAAAGCAAAATTAGCCTTTGTTGAAAATCTTCTTGGAGAAAGCGAAAAGTTAATGTGGCAACAATGGCGAACGACATACCCAGATGTATATGCTGCCCTTGAAGCAATCGCAGATGAACCACAGAATATAACATCACAAGTTAGGCAGTTAATATTGTTAGAAGATCCATACCGAGGCTCAACTGATGAACAAGACAGAGCCTACAGAGATCTAGACAGAATAACTTGTGAAGAAACCAAGAACTTGTGGACATTCTTGGAGGATTTCAGGCAGTTAGCAATAAAGTCTGGAAGGCTGTACTTCCCCTCAACAACAGAAAAACTTTTTGCTAAACTTCCACCTTCTCTATCCAAGAAAGTTGAAGAATCATTTAAAGCCAGGTACCCTGGTCTAAGTTCAGGAGTTCTGCCTGCAATCAAATTCACTCATACTTTCATCTCAGAAATGTGCAAAGATGCGGCGCTTGCCAAAGAGCTTAGAGATTTATCTCTTTGTTCAGCCATACCAATTCCTGGTTATTACAAAAACAACAGGAAAAAGTATGGAATGAGGAAGTCGAAGACTTACAAAGGAAAGCCACATGGTTCTCATGTAAAGCCATTCAAAAGAAAGTACAAAGATGACAGAGGACGAGTCAAGAAATGCAAATGCTTTATTTGTGGAAAGGAAGGGCATTTCGCAAAAGATTGCAAAAGCAAGCAAGGAAACATTGCAAGATCAGCTGTCTATCAAGAACTGGATCTTGATGACAACTGGGACATTGTCTCAGCAGACTTTGATGACACCAGTGTCTATAGTATATCAGAAGGAGAAGGCGATACCCATCAAAGCATCAGTGTTATGGTCCAAGATACTCCATTTGAAGAAGCAGCTTTCACAATAACACATGAAGATAATGAAAGTAGCAGCGAAGATGAAAGAGAGGATATCCAACATAGTCATTATGCTTTCATGTTCCATCCAGGACCACCAACAAAAATAGCAGATATGGTTCAATCCGTAGGATCGTGGAAACCAAGCAAAGAATTGCCAGCTCAAAGTAAAAACTGTGAGCATGATTGGAAGGAAAACACAGTCACAAATTACACGATCTGTTATTACTGTGGAATACTAACCACAGACGTGTCAAGACTTAACTGTCCCAAGTGCCAACTCACAACATGTGCTCTTTGCGCCAAAAATTATCTTGGCAAAACAGTTAACGTTAAGAAAAAACAGCAGATTAAGCCGGAAGAAGAAAGTGACTTTACCAATAGGGAAATAAAGCTTCTCAAAGAACTTTTGAAAGAGAAGACGGAGCAAATGCAGCAGATGATTAAGGATCAAGCCAAAGAGTTTTATGAGACCAAGGCAGAAATACAAAAGAGAGAGGAAGCATGGCAGCTTGAAAAAGGCTTGCTAATAAAAGATCTCACAGATACTCTTAAGATAATCGATCAGCTTAAAGCTGAACAAGTAAGGCTTGAAGAACA